CCTTCATCCCCACACCACCAGAAAACCCCTCCTTCCACCAGAACACCATCTCACCAGAAACCCAACTCAAGACCTTCTTCACCCAAACAAAAAATTGCATCTCCCTCCCTGCAGAGCAATTGTCCCTTTCAGAAACCGTTCACCCTCACCTCCACCATCCCCCCCTCAACAGAATGCCTCACCCATTCACTCTCCACCTCAGCACCAGAACCCTTCACCAACATCCAAGTCTGCCTCACCTCAGAGATCCTCACATCACTCTGCAGCATCTACACCAAAGAAGAAGCCTATCTTCAGGGTTCCCTCCTCATCTAGTGACAATGATGGATTCCTCACCTCCTCCATTGCTGTTGATGAAACCTCCAAAAGAAGAAGGACACCCCCCGGTGTTCCTTCCCCACCTCCATCCAACAGAGCTCCTCCACTACCAAAAGGCAGAGGATTGGAAACGCCTAATTTTACACCTGAAGAATCCAAAATCCCCTTCACCCAGTTTGTGAAGTCTGCTGAAGCTTTTGGTGGAATACTGGTTCAAGATCTGAGCAAGATTATTGAACTAAATGACAAACAACATGAGGAACTCACCCATACCAATCTGCAAATCACCATAGGTTTTCAACACCTGTCAGATAAAGTTGCTGCTCTCACAGAAAATCTGCACACCTTCATGCATTCCTCTAACTCAAGGATTGATTCTGTCTCCAGAGATGTTAGTGGACTCAACTCTATTCTCCACTCTCACTCTCAAGCTCTACTTGCCCAGAATCAGACAATCAACAGGATCTCAGAATCTGTTCACAATCTTCAGAAATCTGCTGATAGTTCCTCCCAGAAACTCAACATCTTACATTCTCTTTGCAAGGAACATCAAGAGCAAGGCCTAGCTCTTCTCAAATCAGACAGAGAAAGGTACCAGAAGATGGTGCTTCTAGAGGTCAGCACCAGAGATCTCCAATCTGCAGTAGACAAGCAACAAAGCCTGATTGAAGGTCTTGCCTCTGTCACTCAGACACTGCCAGAAACCCTTGATGAAATCAGAGATGCTCAAGCCTCTGAGTTTTCCAAAATCGAACTTCTCCTTGGTGATCTTTGTGATGCCAAAAAGGGGGAAGATACCAGAGAAGGAGAAGGCACCAGCACCAGAGCTCTTTCTATCAGAGAACCCTCCTCTGTTGATCCTACTCCTTATTTTGATGCTACCAGAAAGAAAAGGCTAGCTGCTACAGGCACCAGACCTCCTCCTCCTCCTCCCAGAAGCTCAAAGAAGAAGTCTTCATCCTTTTCATTCACTGATTGGATAAAGAGTGGTCTGTCAAGGCCAGACAGAGTTCAGTTTGAACAAATGAGAAAATTGATGACCCCTCTTCAGAGAGAGAATCTGTTCATGGACAGTGATGGACTTGTCCAGATCAACCATGGTGGTTCGATCGAAGAAGCTGAGATGTGGTACGGAATGAAGATACTGAATGGCAAGAATTCTGCTGAAGCTGTCAGAAACTATCTGGATTGCAAACTTGCACCTCATTGGGCTGACTATCAGAATCCTAGGGATTTAGCCTCAATCAGAGCGAAGGTAAATGCTGAACTTGAAAGGATTGACAGAGCAGGACCACAGGTAGATGAAGAAGATCTCTAACTCTCTTTATCTAACTCTGTAATGCTTTACTTTCTCTAACAGTTTAATAAGATACCTTCTCTGCCTTTCTGTTTGATTGGCTCTTTTCAAATATCTGTTCTTATTTACTTTCTTGTGTATTGTCTGTTATCATACTTGATTATTGCTATCTGAATGTATCGTACTCTTACTATTTTCCTATGCTAAGTTGCCCACCAAGATTCTAATGAAAAGTTTTTAACTTCATATTTTTATGGTGAAAGGCACTTCTCTGGAAATAGTTAAAGGGTTTTGGCATCATCAAAAAGGGGGAAATTGTAAGGAATAAATGTATTTAGATTTTGATGATGCTAGGATTAATTAGAATTTGAAAGTACCCCATTAGAAATTATGTATTAGAATTTCTTTTGTAAGTTTTAGCTTAGTCTGCCTGCCAGAGTTCCATCTTGCCTCTACCAGAGTTGCTCCCAGAGTTGCTCACCAGAGAAGCTATCAGAAACTGGTTATCAGAAATAGACCAGAGTTGGCACCAGAGACGGACTTCAGAGACTGGACCAGAGAACCTCTTCAGACTCTGCTAAGTATCATCAGAATCCGGAAGCCCTTCCAACGGTCGTTAAACTAACGGGAAATCCCCTAACGGTTACGTACCCTTCAACGGAAGCATGGCACTGTACACGCATTAAATGCACATTTAATGCTGAACGTACGAAGAGATATTTAAAGCTGATAATTGACCATGCGAATATCTTTACGCCCCCAAAATAGCAAGTCGGAGGACCAAACGGTCAAGTCAACAGTACATGCATTTAATGAAGCTGTCTTCTACACTCCAACGGGAAGACCGCTCCCAATATATAAGATACACTCTGGAGAACTAAGAGAGTAACTTTGCCATAACCTTTGCCAAGATAGATTTGCGTGAACAACTTCCTAGAGATCAAAACTCCATTTCTAACAAGAAAAGGCCACAGTTGGAAGATAAACATTCCTATCCTTCATCCAACTAGTAAAGGCAAAGTTACTCAGTTCTTCAAACACTTCGAGAGCTTCATATATTCATCTTTTGTGAAGAAGCAGCGTTGGAGAAAACTGATTTTATATCAAACACTTCTTGAAAAAGAAGGGACGTCTCAAATTAACTGGAGTAAGTGAAGTGGAGATACTTCAAGAGACTCAGTGAAACGAGACCAGCCATCAGGAAGCAGGACTGCATCCCGGGTGGCAACTAGACTTGAAGAAGACAAGGAGTGCTTCTTAAGTTCTAGGGACTAAGGCGTTGTAAACTGTCGTTTTTGCAAGCTTAGTGGAACAGTGGACTAGAGGAACGAGTTGTTCCTTGAACCACTATAAAAACCCCGGTGTCATTTACTTTCAGCTTTTACTTTCTGCACTTAAGATTCTACTGACTAACTCTTTAGGTTGGAATCTGTGTCCAGCAGATCTTCCTTCAGAGTTATCAGAAAGGCATTTTGCCTAGCTTTCTTCTAGAGGCTACCCGGACAGAAACTTATCCGCTGCCTGGTCTAGTTCTGCCACCAGAACCTGACCATCTCTGTCACCAGATTTCGACCATCTCTGTTAAGTCAGACTTGACTTGGAGAAAAGTTTAAATTCCTGAACAGTCTATTCCCCCCCCCCCCCCCCCTAGACTGTTCCTATTACAAACGGGACCAACAAAAAGAAAGCATGTGAAGAAGACGCAAATGGTTAGTTGAAAAAGATTGCAAGAAACCGACGCAAAAAAAGGTTGAAAACGTGAGGGAATGAAAATGATACAATTACATATGAAGAAGTGGGTTGTTAATTAAATATAAAAACCGTTTTGGTATAAAGATGAGAAGAATTAGGAGTGTATTAATTATACAAAATACTACTGCATCAAAGCATGGAAGGGTATAGACGGAATAAAAAAATCAGCCATATGGGCAGGTTGTGTGAGTGCCGTTACTAGTGAAATAGATCAGGAAAAAAAAACATTGAGGTCATATAATGGGAAAGACTAAGAGTTCTAGTCATACTAGGGGTAAATTTCTCTTTTTAAAACTATCTTTAACTTTTTCTATTGCACAAGAGATACATTTTTAGTAAACGCTACTACCTTTTAATTTTTAAAAAGTACTTTTTTCATACACAATCAATTTTTACTATTAAACATTTTCTCTAAAATCACTCTAAAATGTCGCTTTTTAAAATTAAAAACATACTAGTATTCTACCCGTGCAATGCACGGGAAGTTATTATGTGAAAAAATATACTCCGTAAGATAAAAAATCAAACATTTGAAATAAAAAAATAATACGTAAGTTTAATAAAGTTTGATGCATACATTAGAGTTTCATGTGTATTAATACCTATAAAAATCAAATATTTGAAATTTAAAAATAATATGTAAGTTTAATCAGTTTCATCAAATATAGTGGAGTATCATATGGAATAATATCAATCGAAATCAAAATAATATTCCTAAAAAAGTTAGGAATAATAACAATTTCAAAATAAAAGTTATTGCAAATTTCGGAATACTTCCTTAAATACAACGTTCGTTGTTACATTGGTACTTTTCTCATCTGCGTTACATATAGCTATTTTCAAACCTGGAGGGTTAGTGACACGTGAAAGCGCAACATATAATTGTCCATGACTAAAAACGGTTTTTTCAAGACTAATCCAACATTTGACAATGATTGTCCCTTACTCTTATTTATCGTCATAGCATATGAGACAATCAAAGGAAACTGTCGTCTTTCAAACTTGAAAGGCAAATCTCACATCAGATGGAGTCAAAGACATTCTTGGAATCAAAACTTTCTCACCTGCACTCAACCCTGTCAAAACTTTTGCTTCCAAAATATGCTTACCTAGTCTGGTAATAACCATCCTAGTCCCATTACACAGCCCTTGAGAATGATCAATGTTCCTCATTAGCATCACTGGTGTTCCAACTTTAAGATGCAGTTCATGATTTGGTACTCCTGAAGCTTTAATTCCATTCAAAAAATCTGGAGTATGAATATCTGCTAAAAAGTCAGGATTTGAATCTGATTTACACGGGCTATCAGAACTAAGGTAGGTTTTCATCTCAGAACCATTTAAGGAAAGCATGTAGTCATTGATGGAATCAACAACCTGGAGAGTGGGTGCCAATATTGCTCTCTTTTCTAAATAACTGGGATCTTCATGAATAGCATCAAAGGAAGGATAAATTCTTTCAACCATTCTTCCTATAGGATCATCGAAATCTTTTAACAAAAACTCATCTGGAATCTCAATCTCCACAAACCCATCATATGGTCCTCCCATAGTGCCATCACCAATGCTTGCAATCCATTTAGAAAACTTAATCAAATATTTTGACTGCTCATTAGCTGGCAAATGAAGAAGCCTTAATTTTTTTGTCAAACGCATGACATTTGTATGTTGCCACAAATGGGAAAAATTTATAGATGCATTAACAATATCTTGCTTGTTGCTTTAGGTATGACAAGGATGATTTGTCTGCAATCTCCACCAAATACTACTCTCTTTCCACCAAAGGGCAATTCAAAACTTCTTGGATTCTGATACCGCAAAATATCACGCAGACTTCTATCTAAGGCTTCAAAGAAATGTTTATTCACCATTGGAGCTTCATCCCAAACTATAAGCTTGCATTTGACCAAAAGTTCGGCAAGAGCGCTACTTTGTTTTATATTGCATGTAGAATCTTCATTGGGATGAATTGGAATTTTGAACCGAGAATGTGCAGTTCGACCTCCTGGAAGCAATAACGATGCTATACCACTCGATGCAACATTCAATACTATTTCTCCCCTAGAGCGTATGGCAGCAGAAAGAGTCGTCCATACGAAAGTTTTTCCAGTTCCACCGTATCCATACACAAAAAAGACTCCACCCCTGTTTGAATCAACCGCATTCATTACTGTATCATAGACATTTCTTTGCTCCACAGTTAGATTACCCAACAACTCTTCGTGCTCCTTTGCCAATTTGGCTCGATCATACTTCAACTCAGCATATATCAATCGATTGGTATTATTTGATAAAAATCTATGATCAGGACATGGCATGCAGTGGAATTCTTCCAAACTCCTTCCACAACTGCGTAACATCTTTTGAATTTCACACAAAGCATAATTCTTCAATTCTTCATCTGACAACGTGAGATCTACAATAAACAACTAAAATCACAAATATAAATTTGTATAATAAAAATTTCAAAATGTGGGAAATAATATACAAATAAAAGTATACCTGGATGATTAAGCATCACACGTTGTTTGTGGAGGATATCTTCTGATAAAAAAACCCAACATTTTTTCCAAACCTCCTCTGGTCTACTTAAACAATCAACAATTAATAGAGCAACAAACAATTTCCGCAAACAATGTGTTGTTGCACAAAAACTTGCTTCTTTGATTGCATCTATATATTCCTTATCATCGTTCAGTAGACCTAAAGCATAGCAAGCATCACGAAATGTGTCATATTGGACACCATCAACCTTCTTTATATTTTCGAAACATGTTGGTCCACGAACAACATTCAAAAGACATCTAAGATAGAATAATTCACCGCAAGCTGGCGGCACATAAAATAGCCTTCCAGTAGCAAAATTTCTCTTCCTTGGCACCCACTCTCTAGTAGATGGCTTCCACACAAATTTAATTGGCATTTCGGCATTAGTTAAGTTTCTTGCTTGAGGATATATCTCATTTGCTTTGAACCCAGCAAGAAACATGTTTTCCTTCACACTCGGCTTCTCAAGAACTTCATTTATGGGCTCCAAGTCGTTAAAATAAACAACTTGTTCATTAGGCAAGTGAAAGCTTAATCTCTCCACCCCAACACTTCTGTACTGAATCTCAAATCCTAAAGTTCTCCATGCAGCCTCACACGATGAAATGTATCTGCAATCATAATACATCTTCACTTCATCCACATTATTCTCTGCATGATCTCCATTGACACTTTGGTAGAATGTTGCAGTGATTCTATCATTTCCTTTATTCACATATTTGAATAAATATTTGATAGATCTAGACTGAATGCACCACTCCACATTTATGTGTGCTGCATATTTTAGCAATAAATATATATTATGAGGCACCACATATTTGTTATCCAACTCCGCGCCATTTTTTGAAATGGTTCTCCATCATGTCTTCTCCTATACATAGGATACCCATCTTCATCCAAAGTGGTGTGCTCCACGAATCTTTTCGGAAAATGTTTCAAACATCTACCATCTACCATGCAAGGAGACTTCTTTCTCAAATTTCCGCACGGCCCATGCATCATAAATTCCTTCACAGCATTAAAATATTCTGGATCGGTCTCTTAGTAAGGAATTTCGGTTGAAATGATCTTATCAATGTGATCCATTGTTGCTAGATCTTCACTTTTCTCAAGAAACAACAATATGTGGGCATGTGGCAAACCACACTTTTGGAACTCAATTGTGTATATAACTACAATATAAATTGCAAACAAAAAGTGATCATTAGTTGAAAGCAATATTTTATGAAACTAAATAGCTATTATAATAATATAAAAAAAATTAAATATTACATTTTTTATATAATTTGTAAAATACCTGCTTTTACAGTTCCAAATATCTTGTTGTGATGGAAATCATTGATCAACCCATCCAATTTCATCTTAAAAATTCGGCAAATAATATCGGGTCGATCCTCTCTGGTTTGAGATTTCGTTCATCAATGTAGCACTGTATTTCTAGCCATTTTGAATTGCACGTGAAAGTTATAAATAAATGTGGATATCCCATCCATCTACATATGGTCATTGCATCTTGATAGTTTTGAATCATATATCTTGCTCCACCTACAAATGTAGACGGGAGTATAATGCGCTTCCCCTGTGTGGCAGGATTTGTGTCACCACGTAATAAAGCATCATTCAATCCTTTAAACATTTCACACCTCAATTGCTTTTGATTATTTCAAATATAGCTTAACCTGCTCGATTCAATTAGAGTGTAACCATCAACAACATATTGCTGAAATAACTTCTTTGCACGCAATATAATGGATATCTCTGTATTTCTTTCGTGCAACCGATATGCAAGAAACTCTCTGATGCTCATCATTTGTCTCCCTCGGGCATGATCCGATTTTCTATTGCACAGAGGTATGTCTTCTCTAAATCCATCTCCCCCTTATGGAAATAAAAGTGGATATTGGAGCGCTAAATATGAAGGGTGTAACTCATTAATCCGTTGCAACCTCCCACTGCAAGTCTCGACCAAAATATCTCTTTGTCCCAATGACAAATCAAAATCGCCCACAACCAAAGCTACAACCTCTGATACAGAAGGTAGATTGTAGGTTCTCCCATCCCTTGCTTTCTTTCCTATGAGCTTCAACTTAAACTCAGCACATCCTTCTTCATGGATTTTCTTTCCAGCCATTCTAAATGATTTCACCAGCACATTATGCTCATCAAGAGTATTTTTCAATTCCTCAACAATTTCCTCATGCAAATTATGAGGCTCTTCTATTTTCCTGAGTGTGCATAAGAAATATTAGTTATATAATTAATGTCTAATAAAGAAATGATATAAACAATATACACAAATACACCATTCTTACCACACAGAATTAATTCTATTACAAACTTCATTCTCCCTATCATATATGTACAACTGTGCAAATTTGGGAACCGCAGATCCACACGGTAACAAACTCCCCATCAAATGAAAGTTTTGCCCATGTAGCTTAAACATCGGGGGGGGGGGGGGGGGGGGGGTTCCGTCATGCAAGGTGGTATCAATTTTTTCACCCAAATATGTGAAGGAGAACATATTATTGTATGAAAGAATATTTTGCAAAAAATGTTTGCTCCTAGCATGTTGACCCAAAATAAGATTTTCAATAAATAATGGAGGCCTTTTTATGAGTGGTAGTTGTATTTTTCCTTGCAAACAACACAAAGAATATTTTGGATCTTTTGCCTTATAATGAGCAGCTAATCTCTCTTCATACCAAAATAATGCTCCGCAAGAGCTACAAACAAAAGAAGGATCCCTGACATCCCAATAACCTAAAAATAAGAAAACAATTGGAACCACAAAATGTACGTTTAAATTTAATGAATAGACCATTCATTACAAATACAAACGTTTATCATATTAACATTATAAATTTGAAGTTTGATGATGAAACTACCAGTTGGAATATTATTGGAATCACCATCTCTGTCATCATCATTGTCATTTAAGTTGATTTGATCAACTCTCTGCATATCTAACTGTATTGCATCCGCATTCTTAGATGGTGCATAAATACAATTGTTTATTTCAGGAATTTGTTGGGATGGAACACCTACATCTAAAAGTTTTCTTGTTTAAATCTACAATTTACATTTAGAAAATACTTTATGTAAGGAATAATTGTATTTAGATTTTGATGATGCTATATTCATTAGGACTTTAGAAGTACCCCTTTAGAATTTATGTATTAGAATTTTCCTCTGTAACTTCTTAGATGTATTCGACCTGACAGAAGTGCTTCAAGAGCAGAAGTGCTTCAAGAGCAGAAGTGCTTCAAGAACAGAAGGGCTCCCAGAGCAGAAGTGCCTCTTAAGGCTTCATTGGAACAGAGGACCTTTGGTTCCCTGCTCCAGAACAGAAGTCCTCAGGACCTCTGTTAGTATTGACTCTGACAGAAACCCTTCTGGGTCTCTGTTGGATACTCCCAACAGAAGTGCTCCAGACCTCCTCTGTTCTACTCTCTGACAAAGACACCAGAAGGTCTGACACTTTGAAGATTTTCAAAGAACCGGGAAGTCAACTTAAAGATTCCTTCAACGGCTAGGAGTATAAAACGGAAAAGCTACAATGCATGCATTAAATGCTCATTTAATGCACCCCATGCTACGTAGAGTAATTGCAGATGATTGGCCGGAATGTCAGGAATACTTTATCCCAAAATAGTAACCCGCCAACCTTACCGGGCTCTACTAGTCAAGTCAACTGATCACTCATTTAATGCAGTTGTCCTCCTACTCCTCCAACGGGAAGACAACCTCAGTATAAAAGATACACTACGAAGAACAACCGGACAACTTTGCTATAACCTTGCTATCACATTGCTAACCGAGCAAGATATTCAAACTCTGAAAAGCAAAAGCCTCCTTGAGATTCAAACTCATTATATTCTACAAGAGAAGGCAGAAGTTGGAAAAATACTCTTTCCAACTCAATCAAAGTTCCAAGTGTTCTTCAACTCTTCAAGCTCTTCACATACACACATTTTGTAACGAAGCTAGTTGGAGGAACCACAGTTTCAACAGAAACTCTTCTTGCTACAAGAAGGACGTCCTAATAACTGGAGTAGTGAAGTGGTGATACTTCAAGGAGACTCAGTGAAATGACCAGTGTTAAAGGAAGCCAGGCAGTGCATCCCAGGACACATCTAGACTTGAAGAAGACGTGGAGTGCTTCTTAAGTGCTAGGACTAAGGCTTTGTAAACGGCAGTTTTTACAGCTTAGTGGAACAGTGGATTAGAGGAACGAGTTGTTCCTTGAACCACTATAAAAATCCCTGGTGTCGTTCACTTACTGCTTTTAATACTTGCACTTAGATAGAACTGTATAACTCCTTGGACTTGGTATCTGTGTTCAGCAGAACTGGTTCTACGAGTTAACAGAAGGCCTTCTGCCTTTGCTTCTCTGAGGCTAACAGAACTCCCTGACAGAACCCCATCCGCTGCCAGTCTGTTCTCCCAACAGAACAGGCTATTCTGAAAATCTGGTACTTAGTTTTAAAAGCTAAAATCAATACAGTCTATTCACCCCCCCTCTAGACTGTATCCAGTATAACCGGGACCAACAAGTGGTATCAGAGCCTCCTTGTTCTAATAATCTTTTAGGTTATTTGTTGAACACAGATCCACTTGTTTTTCTGTTTTACCTCATTTCTATCTGATATAATGGATCACTCCTTGTCCAAGAATATTATGTTTTCAGATCTTAAGTTTGATGACTGGAGGATCCGGATGAAAGCACATCTCTGTGCCCTGCATGATGAGATGTGGGAAGTTCTTGATATTGGCCCCTTCACTAGCTTCCAGAAGGTCAACCCTGAACATGCCATAGACAATGCCAGACCCCAGATGATTAGCAAAGCCAAGTCAGAATGGACCACTGAAGAGAGGAGAAAGTACAACTTAGACAATATTGCCAAGGACATCCTCTACAAGTCCATTGATGATAGATACTTCAACAGAATCAAGAAGTGCAAGACTGCTAAGGAGATCTGGGATACTCTTGAGCTCATTGGAGCTGGTGATGAGCAAGAGAAGGACAACAAGCTAACCATAGCCAACAAGAAGTTTGATGACTTCAAACTTCTCCCTGGTGAAAGCATCTCCAAGATGTATGACAGGCTCCTCACTCTCACTGGAGAGATTTCTGAGCTTGGCAAGGATCTCACAACCAAGGAGATCAACCTGAAGGTGTTGAGGGGACTGCCCTCAGCATGGAAAATGAAAGTAGTTGCTGTCCAAGCCAGCAAGGATGTAAAGACTTATCCCACTGATAAGCTCATCTCAGATCTCAAAGCTCATGAGTTTGAAATGATTGAAGAAAAGGAAGATGTACCAGAAGAGAGGACCACTACAGCCCTCACTGCCAGCACATCTAAGGTAAATGATTTTGACCCTTCAGTACTTTTATCTGATGAATATATGGCTGCCTTTGCCAGGAGATTCAAAAAATTTATGAAGAATCCCAAAGATGGAAGGAGTCCATCTTTCAACAGAAAGCCATACCAGAAGGTCAAATCAACAGAAAGCAGTGGAGAGCTTCTCTGTTACAAT